TCTTGTTTGTTACCATGAGTAAGAGGATGTCATCTATTTAGAATAGCTCAGCATTTTAAACTGTTTTTTACCTATTATTGGGAAATATCTTTTTACCGATTATAGTTTATTATTCTTGAACTCTGTCTAGAAGAGATTATGTATGCTGCTGACTGGATAAGAAGCAGTATGAAGCAATGTGTATTTTACACAACAGTTTTGCTATGAGAACTGTTTTCCTGTCATAAAAGAGACTCTTAAAGATTGAAGTTGAAAATGTCACTAGCTTAGATATTAAAAGAATTTTAGCATTTTTTGTGATTGAAGTCAGTCATTCAAAATTGCATAGAAATAAAGAAGAAATACTTTATTTTTCCCCTTTCTTTTTCACTTAGGTGGCTTCCTAGAAGATGACCATAGAGGACCTTCCAGATTTTCCATTAGAAGGAAATCCTTTGATTGGAAGATACCCCTTTTTATTTTCAGGTTCTTATACACCAGTTATCTTTTCCATTTCCGCTGCACCAATGCCTTCAGACTGTGGTATGTGACATAACTCTGTTTTCTGTAAACTGGTAACTTGACTTCTGTCTTATGCCCTCTTTGCACTCATAATTTTTTTCTGAAACCATTTGCTCTGTTTTTTATAAAATTGCTAAAGCTTTCCTTTTTCAAAATACAATCGCTTATTGCATTTTCTGCCTCTTAAGCTAAATGCTTTATTTCTGCTGTCAGCATTTTTATTATGTAAAAACGTTAATTTTAAGCACCATGATGGATTTAGAGGATTTTATTTTTAGAATGTAATGGTGCTTAGATATCAAGCATTCTTTTGCTATTGATGTATTTATTTTGGTTAAATACACTGAATTGCTAAAAAAGCTGTGTACAAAGGCAAAGACTGCAAAAGACCCTTCCCTGGAATATGGAATGAGATTGGTTCCTGTTTAAATTGGTCCCTTTAATTCTCCTTTGTAAACTGTAAATTTAGAAGTGTCCTAGTTTTTGTCTATTTTGATTTATTTCCTGAGGACTATATTTTATAAGTAGTTGATAAAAGAAAAAGAAAAAAGGAAACCAGGAGGTAAATTTGATAGAATTTCTTACATTTTTAATTTAGAGTTTTTCAGGTAAAATATTG